GGTAAATATCTTATTATGTATTATGAAATAAAATGTATTTTGATGAAGAACATGAGTGTTTTATTTTTATATTGAGTTTGTGATAGGAAGTCGATATATTGTATCAGGACAAGCACCAATACCATTTTTATTTTTTTTGTTTTTTATTTTTTAAATAATAGGAAATCATACTACGTCTATCTAATGAGATTAAAGTCAATGACACATCAGACTATTTTATATTAGCTACTGTCACGAGCTCATGTACGTTAGTTAACTCGAAAATATGAATTCGTTCAAGACAAGTCAGACACAGCTCACTTTGAATTTAACAATGACAGCTGTTGTTACCTCACTGATGTACCTCACTGATGTGTAAGAATTACAAAACAAACAACAAGAGCTTATTTACCGAAGTGTCAACAAACCACAATTTGAGCTCAAAATCGATACAATTAGGACAAAATATGAAAGATGAACAAAAATACACCCTCGAAAACGTTAGAGGAGAATAAGACCATCCGGGAGGATAAGCTTCGTCTACTTCTTCGACGACATCCGCAATGCAAGTCTAGGTAAAATCCAGGTAATGTCACGTCTTTACATCTAGCAGAACTCTGGTAGTGGCAAATCAATCGCAAACATCGAGCTTCATATCAGACAACGAAATATCATATTTCCCTATGAGATCTTGATGGCGACCATTAAAGCTGTCCATAATCTCATTCAACCTGTGTCTTTGGTAGACCTGTATTGTATGTTTGTCTGTCAGCAGTCGATATCTGGCATGGAAGTTATGATATTCGGAGCATACGTTTGAATGCCGAGTCAACTGCGACATGCAAGCAACAAAGAGAAGAAAAGCCAAGCAGGGATACTACTATCAAGAAAGAGAAAGTTCACGATCGGAAAGTTGAAATCGTCCTACTTATCGTACAGCTAGGTAGTGTGCCGTCCCTATTGGCCAAGATGGAGGAAAGTGGCTGTAGTAGAAAAGGATGTTGTGTCCTTGGTTAAAAGATCAGTAGGTTACATGTATATACGATTTGTCTGGTAAATATATTTCTTTTTTATTGGAAAAAAGCACACGTATGATATATCCAAATAGGAAATTGAAGGACATGGCAAGTGTTTTGCTACCAGTCATCAATAATTCAGTTTTACATGAAAACAAAAGAAATCGTCCAGAAGAGAAACACAGGTTGCTCCCTTAGGAATGCCCACAGTCTCCTTTAACCGAACTCATAAACGATATTGTATGCGGGAAACTAAATCATTCTCACAATATGGTACTCAGTATTTTTATGTTTGGACTGTGTCGTGTTTTTCACAAATGTTCACCAACTTATTTACAACCATATATGTATATCACAGTTCGTCTTTCTTAGGAAAAAATAATGGGAGTATAAAAGCATTCCTTCAGTAAAGTATGAGTAATGGTAGAATAAAGGGTCGAACAATTGTAACAATCATAATATGCAATAGGTTTCCATAGGTAGTATATATAAATACGATCTTAAACGATTATTTCCATCACATATGGATATTTTATTTCTAAAACGAAAACCTGGGGACGAGCATGATCAGAGTTAAGTAACACAGAAATAAATTCAAGATTATTCTATCCCATAACCAACAATTTATTAAAGTATTTCTGGAAAAACGTAGTTTTGTTGATCGTCACCATTGATTTCCAATGTGACCATATTTACGGGAAATGTATAAATAGGGTATGTCACAAAAGATGAAATTTTATATCTATTTTCTTAGAGTAAGGTAAAAACAAAAAGTCAGCTAAAGGCAGCACTGTGATAACATCTGTTTTGAACAATATACCAGACGGGAAAGTATAGCGACAAGGTTTATATCTTTTAGAGTATTCTATAACACATCGGTGCCTGTATTTCATTAAAACTATATAATGAAATCTTTACGCAAGATGAAACTAAAAGGCTAAGTGCTTGTTCAAATTACATCATTTTACACTGTCCTCTATTTGACAGGGTACACCATTGTGATATCCGTATAGATTATGGATTTGAGAATAAACTTATAACAATGTCAAAACCAAAGACAATATTATAAATTGATCGTCTTTGAAAACCTGTATAATTCGAAATCCTGTACAACACAACATGCGTAGTAGAGTCACCTGGCTACTGGGACGCTGTTAAACACATACCACTAGTCTGATTACATTCTGTTACATCCGATACCTTAGTGGGCAGAACCTGTTTAATATGGTAGCCTGTGTTATCCGGCATCCTGTTGGATAATCTCCCATTAATCTGTCTAACATAACACCCTTTTTACGCAACATGCTGTTAATATTAACCTGTCTAATCTGACACTGTGACAAAACCTGCTGATGTGATAGAGAGTGTTTCGGGATATACAAATCTCTTTCTACGGAATACTATTATACAATTACGTTGAATTAAGCAGGATGTCAAGGGTTGGCTTGGTCAGTTTTTAATGTCACCACACTTAAGTTAGGCAATTAATTATTGAATCCTGTTCTGCTGAGGTTATTGGGTATGACCCTCAATGAGTCTTGTACTGCTATTGATTTGTCTCAAGATCCATTGGAATTTATACCCAATAATCCTCAACAAAACAGGATTCTATCCCTGTGTTTACATTCGGTATGATATTGATATTTTTTGGATAATTTCTAAAATATCGGTCTTGTTCAAGTCAAGCACCACGGAAGGTACCGAAGCTTATGACGTCATCACTCTTTATGAGACGTCGTCCTGGTAAGATGAATAATGTGTTTGCATTCATTACAGGTATATTGAGTTTAAGTTCAGTAAAAATGTAAATATTACTACATGCACCTGGCATATTCACCTAGTCAAGTATATGATATAGTGCGGTTGCAAAGGCAAGTCTTAATAACAACAGAGTTGATTAAATTGAACTTTACATATTTTGAGTTATCTGCCAAACAAAGTACATGTTTTCCATATTCAGTTCAACATTACTGGTTCTTATTTATAACGCTTATTTCATAGTGTATTTTCTTGGTATGGGTAATTAGACTTGTTTTGTCAAAATTGTTTGATAAGCGATCAGCTCATATCATTTTGTGTAACGCACAAAAGGTTAGCTATTGTTTTAAGGTATCATTGTTCAAGTGGGCTAGCTGCAACTATACCAAGAGAACGATCAATGGTAGATTGTCCAACATAGTTTTGAACAGTATTCAAAATTGTATGTGTGAGAGAAACAGTAAACGTCTCGTTCTGTATAAAATCTTGTCTGTGGATGATCTGTTAAAGTTAGTTTATGGCCATAAGGTAAGTGAAACCACATGGTATATCAGAAATAATTGTTTAAAAAAAAGAAGTTGAATATGAAAGAAGGTTAATTTTAACAATAGTATCATCCGTCTGATAGTGTTGACTTTGTGTTTATTATTTTTGGTAACTGTTACGTCAAAATTTACAGATATTACCACCAACCTTAGTTTGTCTGTCAATTTATCCCTTTACTGAAAACATAGAACTTTATTATGAGAAGTTCTTTTTACACAACCAATAACATTTTCTATGTGACGTTTCGATTACTAGTACGATATGTATTCATAAATTCATAAAATCTCATAATCCATCCTTACCAACCTAAAGAAAATGTTTAGAAATAAAACTTTATTATCTATAATAAAGTACATTAACCTTTTAGGTTTGTTTTGCCGAATGGTTCAATTAGCAAACAACTCATATCATATCGTGTAACGGTCAATAGGTAAGCTATTGTTTAAAAGGTATCAATAATATCATCAAAACGATCAATGTTAAAATGTCCCACATATTTTTGAAAAGTTTCCAAGTTTGATTTGTGTCACAGGAATATTATACTTCCTGTTTGGTATAAAAAAAAATACCTTGGAATGATTTGTTCATTTTCAAGTTAATCTGTAGCAATAAGGTAAGTAAAGAATTCAATATGCTAAACTATATATCAGCTTAAATTGTTAGGGAAAACAATTTATTGTTGAATATGGAAGAAGGCTAATTTTAACAATATAACCGTTCTACGGATATTGTTGACTTTGTGTTTATATTTTGTTATGGTAACTGTTGCGTCAAAACTTCCTGATAAAACCGTTAACCTGAATTTGTCTGTTAATTTGTACCTTAACTGAAAACATGAAATTTTATAATTTATAATAAAAAAACAATGACCTGAGAAAACAAAATTTGATATAAATACATAAACTATTTTTCTAATTACAGAGACGGTACCATGGCTGTTTTAAAGTATTTGTTCTTCGTAATGGCGGGTATGTACCTCTTTATTCTTAATCTGACATCAATTTTACATCCTGGAAGAAAAGACTTAAAAAGAAAAAGAAACAATGAATGAATAATGTACATAATACTTCATTTATATATATATATTATATATTGTCACTCCCGACTCATTGAATAAAACCGGTAGAATTGTGTTAACACTTTTGGTAACCCACTAGTGGGTATCACTCTGGACGTTATATCACTGGTCAATTGTCTAGTAATGACATAAAGTAACAATGTTTTGCGACCTGATCTTCTATTTTGACATTATAATTCAATAAATTCATAGATTAGAATAATGTATTTCCAATAAAAAACATGGTTTTGCAAATATCATATCTGAACGTTGTGGGACCAAAACTCGTCATGGTGGATTCTTATGTGTATCCAAATCTAGCTTATTTATTTTCAAAGTGGAAAAGACACTCGGTAAACCTCGTGTCTTTATTCCATTGTAAAAGTACCTAACTTGAGTTGGATAAACATTATCACCGACCATCTCATGTTTGGGAACCTCTATTAATCTAACTACACAGTTTGTATCATATGGAATACTTTCGACGTCATTCAACTTATTATGATACTGAGGCGAAATATTATAGATGAAACCATTCCTTCAATTCATTCTAAATGCTTCTTATTGTTTTAACAGATCAGCTGAAAATTTAAAAAATATAGCAGCAATATTTCAAACAGTTAAAGTATATAACTTCTGAATATATGATTGGTGGTTACATAAGTACACGAATTTGTCGACGATAAAGGTCAAAGTGATGCCTTTGTTGTCGTAAATTCCACATTGTCGCCAGGAAAACGGAACTTTTAAAAGGACATTTTATATAATATAACTTCCACCCCGATTGGACTGTGGACACTTGCAATGTAATAATAATTCACAGTGTGAGGATTTCATTGCGAATGCCAATTTCCCTCCCCCAGTGTTTTTCAAAACAATTTTATCCTGATAAAAACATTAAAATGCTTACTCCCTAAATTATTAATACTTTGACAGTTATATTATTGCTGAAAACATCTATTTCTGCTTGTTATTTGCAGGTCTGACCTGTCTTGAGTGCAAAAAACTGACAGCAACCGATACTTCGCAAACCATTGAAACCCACGGGTACAGCTTTGGGTTGCAGTATTCACGGTAAACCAATCAACGTTAGAGTCTCGAAAAAAGCTTCACCGCGTGTAAAACTTAAGTCTTTAGCAAACACTCTATATCGGAAACTCTGGTCTGTCGACGGTTAAATCAATTTATTCCCAAAACACAATTCGCCCTTCTTATCTACTTTCAAATGATGACTGCAATGATCAATTCGCCCTCATTACGGAGGGCGAAACAAAGTGTTAAATACAACTCTAGCGAATACTTCACGGTATACGATATGTTTGCATTGTGTCACATACATCAGCATTTTACAAATGTAAATATATTTGGAATTTGATTCGGTTATTAATATGAGTTGTACCTATCACTATGTTTATTTTTATATAACCTTACATTACAGCTTTATGTATGAAACCTGGAGCATTGAAACGTTAGATAGCTCGGCAGTTGTCGAAGTCGAGATAGATATGGATATCGAGCCAAGTTTGGGCTGTTGGTATGACAGTTTACAAATATTTGACGGTAAGTATTTTCTAACCTCGATTTGTTGTAGCAGATACGTAAGAATTTTAAACAACTATATACATAAAGTATTTGGTAATAAAAGCACACAGTTAAGGATCTTCGTGTCTCTGCCAAACAATGGAACTATGTACTAGAAACCAATTTTGCGGTCCTAACTATAACTTTGATAAATATTTTCTGAGAAGAAAACCATACCTCGGATGGTAATTTTACGAATAAAATAGAGATGAAAAAAACAAAATGTAGTAACAACAGCGTTGTAAAAACAATCAATGGGACCAGGCCAAGATTTGCACCATGATTACTTCAGATTGTGATACTATCGTTCTAGCCAATAGAGCTACCTGGTCAGCGGAAGTGGCCTGACCCAGCTCAGCTACAGTTTTTCAAAAACGAAATTGAGGGGAGGTTACTGTACATACGAAATTTAAGAACAAGGTGCCTTGTTTATCAATTTCCTTGAAACCAAACTGCTATTTCAACGAGATTTGATCGTTTGTATTTTCATATTTTATATTTCAGGTTCTAACAGTGGAGAAGATTCTCTTGGAACATTTTGCGGAACCTCTTCCGATAATACAGTTACAAGTTCTGGTCGGGAGATGTACGTGGTTTTTCAGAGTGACGGTTCTTTGCAGATGAGAGGATTTAAACTCATATACAAACAGGTGAAGCAAAAATACGGTAAGTTTGATTTTCCTACTCATATCAATACATTTCAAACATTCATTCTGTTCTGAAATTTTTAAAGACCACACATCGATTGATATATATATATATGTTTTAACTACCAGATACAAAATTTGCCTTTCTTATATTGACATGTAAGATGACTAGACTTAACAACCAGTGATCAGCACACAAAACGTGTAAAATATATAATAACTATAAGCGTGCCTTTAAAAGGATTTTTAGACAATTTACTAAACATTTAAATGTTATTACCGGGTAAACTTTATCGAATTTTAGCTTCTTTATGACTTATTGAAAGTTTCTTGTTGATGAATTTTTGAAATCATACATAGCTTTTCATTATATTTCTTATTGTTTTGCAGCTATCTGGATGACTGTTGGAATAGTTTTAGCAGTATTCACAACCATTTTGAGCGTTTGTCTGATCCTGTTCCTCTGTGGTGTGTGCAAGTCAAAGAACGAGGTGTCCCCCATCAGCCTCAACAATGCACAGCACCAGCAGCCTGTCTGGATGATTCCTAGGCCACATAATCACTTGCAGGTAGTTCCTGGGCAGTTTGTACCACCACCGACGTATCAGGACGTTACCTATCAGAATCAGCAGGCTATGGAGATGCAGGACATGAACCGCAGAATCTTACAAGGAACAGCGGACATTGCAATGGCAAGAGCATCACCAGACAACATAATGGTAGATTCACTACCACCAAGTCAATATTACGAGAAGACATGAACGTTTGATTGGACGTCACTAGTGACCTGTGTTCGAACATTTGATTGACATCACAACTGATATGTGCTGTAACATTTGACTGGACGTCACTAGTGACCATTGTTCAACCATTTGATTGGACGTCACTAGTTACCTGTGTTGAACATTTGATTGGATGTCACCAGACACCTGTGTTCGACCCTTTGACGTGACATCACAACTTACCTGTGCTCGAACTTTTGATTGGTCGTAACTACCAAATATCACCTTAGCATTGTAATGATGTTGTGCTTTCATATATTAACTTACATTCATATTATAAATACGCAGCTATGTTGGTCCCGCTTAAGAAATGTTGATATCATTTTCTTTATCATGTATGTAGGTGTATGACTTTGCACTCAGATGTTGCCACGCCATTTTTGGGTTATAAATTAAAAACAATTATTAAAGATTTATTCATTACATGTTTGCGTAATTTTTCTTATATCTTTTTATAATGATGATTTTAGTAGAGGTAAAAGTATTATACTCGGTAATGAAACAGCAATTGATGTATTAGAAACAAAATTAACAAGTGATTTTGAAGTTTTTGCAGCCGAGAAAATACCAGGATTATTGGAGAAAGTCAGATAAGATATTTATTCAACTCTATCAGCATATTTATATTGTAACGAAATTATAAAGGTGTGATATTGCTTTATATAAATGAATATCTAACCAGTATGATTTTACGTCGGCTCGAGACGATTTCAAACCTTACCAACACTCAAAGTAATATTGTCGTTAAGAATCGTACGACAATAACTGGAATTCCTATTGAGATTGGAGTTTCATATCAAATGATCAAGGAAGTATCGATAGCGTGTTAAGGGCAGTTAGCAGAAATGGTTTTGAGAAACCACAATATTTAAAGTAGAGAACAATGCTACTGACGTCACAGAACCTGGTAAACTGTCAACTTATTTGGAAATTTTACCTAGATTTAAATGTAAGTACAATGCAAATAATTCAAATGAAAAATTACCAAACAGTGGTTCAATACCGTCCCACGTAAACCTTTTTGATCAGTATATCATAAACATAATGTTTTACTATTAAAACTACGCACATACAACTATACAAAGTAGAAATCTATACCAGGCTATCCACAACCGACACTTCGGACATTTTGATGGTGTTCAGGTGAATGGAGTTGTTCAAATAAATTGTAAACTATGACACTTCATTAAAAACATATAAGATAAAGGGGGAGTAAATCAACAGGATTAAATAACTAACTCTGTGGAGTAATTATCTTTGTATAATAAATATGCGGTATATTTTTCCTTTTGTGTTTACGTTGTGGTATATTTTATCTTTTAAAAGGAGGCACGGTAGTCTAGTGGTAGGACGCCGGGCTCGTTACCGACGGGTTGCGGGTTCGAGTCACGTCACGGCATTGTATTGTATTGTATCTTTGAGCAAGATATTTTGCTTCGTTTGTTCGAGTCTAGTCAGCTGTAAATGAGTACGTGGTTGGGCAGTGCTAGACTTGTTGAATGCTAGCTATGAGCGCCGAACTGACAGCACCGGCTGTGTGCTCCCCAGGTAGTTGAGAAAGGTAGTGTCAAGAAAGGCCCTATAACCACGAATAATTTTTGAGAACTGTTTTGAGACGACCTACGAACTAGGTTGCTATAAAGCGGTATGTAAGAACCTCCAATTAATTATTATTATATTGTGTGGTGACTAAGTGGTAGATTAAGTCATTTTAGTACTATTAATATGTAACGCTGCAGCACATATTGTCTTTATATAGTTATTTTGTACATTTTTAAACATTTTCTTCAGGTTGGTAAGTATGGATTATGTTCTTTTTACTCAACCAATACGATTTTCTATGTAGCCTTGTGATGACTTGTACGATATGTACACAGTCACCTTCATCAGACAAAGGACATGTGAAGCGTATGAACACAAAGGTGTAAAATGTGTACGAGTTTTCCACACAATCGAGTCGATTCGGCTACGCTGTAAGCGTGTGTAGTCGATATTGTTTACTCGATTTTGTGGACGCCTCGTACACGTTTTACACCTTTGTGTGCATACGATTCACAGGTCATTTGTCTTATTGGTTTTGTAAAAAGAACATTTATTTTGTACATTCGACTCTAAGAGAAATACAGTTATTGTCTAAAACATATACATGTATAATAATCAAGGATATATATCTTGTTGTCTTTTTCTAATTATCCATGCTTAGACACACCATTCATTACTTGTTTCTTATTTGCTTTGATATGAGTACACCATTGTATAAAAATAGAATATCATTGTATGTTAAATACATAGATTTTTGAAAATTCAAGAAAGCGCACTCACCTTTTACTAAAGCGGTCGGGGTTCGATTCCCAGATCGGTCGTGAACATGTATACGGTCACCTGCCCGACCACATGGGTTTTCTTTGGGTACTCTGGTTTGCTCTACATGTACCAAACGGGCCAACAATAGCGATGAATATGATCAGCAAATGTTGTCATATAAATTTGATTAATTAAACATCTATTTTGAGAAGGCAGTGACTGTGTTATTATCAGGATTGCAGTTAATGTATCGGCTAGGCAATTCGATGCCGATAATCTAGAGTTCAACTCGAACAGGGCACAAGGCGAACAATTGTGTTCCATCGTTTTTGTTTGGGGTTTTTTTTGGGGGGGGGGGGGGGGGGGGGGGC